CGAGGTTTTTAACCAGCTACTTTTTCAACGTGTTAATAACCCAACTCTGATTAGTGGGCAATTGGAGGAAACGTGCGCGCGGGATCGGTTGACCGAACCTTCTAGCTATACGGTTATCCGCGCGAGATGCACAACTATGCGCATAAACAGACGCGGCGTGGTTCGATATAGCGCATGTGGGGTGGGGGAAGTTGGTAACGGCACTTGTGCTCAACCGTGTGTACACGGGGTTAGGTAAAAAGGTAGAGATCCCTATCGACACCACGCCACCCGGCGACATTCCTTCTAATTGCTTCGAAACTTAGCGGCTTCGGTCCGCGCCAATTTTTTTCCCGATCGTCCGGCCAATTAGATCTAGCCACGAAGACACGCGATCCGGGTCCCGAGGTGGGGTCGCGCGCCGCGTCGCTCGCGCTTTCACGAACTCGCCTCACGACTCGGCTACGCCTCTCCAGACGATCGTTCTCGTCTCGTTCAGGTAAAACCGTAATTTTACGCGTTACTCCACCGTCCAACTCTGTTATTTATCGCCGTTAACGAGCTAACGATCTTGATTTTTTTTTTCTTTTTACGACCAACTATAACCTCGCTCTATTCGATCTCTGTGGATTATCTCGAAACACTACCTTTCTTGCAAGGAGAATATTTCTCGTGATTTTTTTTTTTTCTTTTTTCTTTATGATAAGACGATTTTAAACTAATTCGAATTAGCTTAGATTTTTTAATATTCGAATAAACAGAGATAGGACGTTTGAACGTTGTTTTTTTTTTTTTTTTCGAAACGTGTATTTCGATGAATGATTTAAGGAAATCTAGGCGAAGTTATTACATATGAAAGCGATCTCGTTAGCGGGAAACGGTGATTTTATGTAGACCGGAACTCGGTAAGAGTCATTCGTCTGTAGAACGCTATCGTTACCGTCATTACGATACCGTTATCATCAGTTGGGTCATTGTTGTAATATTATCTGGGACGAAAATATTTTTTTTGTGCATCCTTTTCGCCGCTCAATGAATCGATACGATCGTATAGTATTCGCGCGATCGAATAGATTCGCTTTTAACAACAATTTATCAAAGTAATATTCTAAATATTTCTATTCCTACTATATACGTGCTAGACGATGTAAACTTTATTGTCGAGAAGAAGATTCGATCGTACGCATCGTATTCATCGTAGCCAGTATGACTTTTGGGAAGCGTGCGGTTGAAATGGCAGGGAGGAGGAATCGGATATCGATCCTCGAGGGCCTCCCAACGGATATGGAAACCAGAAGCTTGAGTAATTAACAGAATCTCCTTCCCCTTTGCCGTACATATATACCTGCATGCCTGTGTCTGCATTAATTGTCTCCACGACGTGTCCGTATCACGAGTGTACGCGACACAATCAACACGCGTGTGTGCGTAACTGAACACGCGTTTTGCATATGGAATTCTTGCAACGTGATCCATCATTCGAGTTAATAACACTCGTACAACTAGAAGACCGATACATCGATTCGATAACAAGCCTTATAATTAATAGCTTTCGTTTAACCGTGCAATGATTCACCCAATATTATTGTTTCGTATTTCGATTCGAACGATATATCGAAACAAATAACAATTCATGCAATTATTATCGTTGCCGTCTTGTTCGCGAATTAATTATTTAAAATTAATTAAAGTAAGAAGTGAAATCGTGGAAAAAAGATTTTTACCATAAAAGATTCCGATCAAACTCGAATCCCAACCGCGTTAAATTTGGCCGTGAAACTCGATTTTAAGCCTCTTAGGGAGCGGTATTCTATCTCGTTAAGTTTACGACATTGAACCGTGAAACGGGATCCCGCAAAAAGGATGGTACTTTACAAGCGTAAGCTTAGAAGTTTCACACCCTTAACGTCTCATCCTCGGTGTTCAAAGCTTAATAATATCTTCGATAGCGTGCAACCATTCGAAGAAACACCTCTTGCCTACGAACGAGGGACAAAGGCGTCGTAAAGACGGTGTTTACAGTCAAAGCACGTCATATCTTGCCATATTAATATGTCGACTGGTTGCAGAGAAGTCGACAGAAATTGCAAAACGTGATACCGATGGCGCTGCTGTTCGCAACACCGACCGAGGACATTAATTCCTGATATTACCCTCGTAAATATCGCCGAAACGTTCCCTCTACTGGCAGGTTTCTTCCTAAGATTGAAACGCTTTTTTCTTTCCCGCGACGTCAATGTATCGTCGCAGGAAAATATTTCAATTTTTTTCTTTTTCTTTTTTTTATCCTACGATCTATTACCATCGATATATCACCACGACTCGGACGAATCTCGCACGCCGCTGCGCGAACGAACGAATCGACAAAGGAGAAAAGCTCGTAAATTTTTATGGACCACCATTTCTCTTCCATGGCATACGGATTGGTATATTTGAAAAAAAACCATTCTTAGGTGGAACGATATTTCCTCTAAATTACTAAATTTGAAAAATATCCGTTTGAACGAATCTTTAATTGCAAAAAAAAAAATTGCGTCGTATCCGTTAAATAATAATTACGACGGTGAAGAGAAAATAAAGAATTTAATTTATATACTATACTTGTACAAGTAGGTATAATAAAAACCGGTAAATAAATTTCTTTGGAAAATTTTTACGCGAAATGAAAGGTGTAATTATTCTTTCTCGGATATAGGTAGACACCATTAACTAGGTAGTACAGGAGTAAGTATTTTAAACGCCGCGGAAAATATAAGTCTGCAATCTTATTCTCTTCGAGCGAATAGCGAAACGAGAGAAAAATAAATTTCGCGTCAGCGGATAAAAATAGAGGATAAAGATTATATACTTTAAAAACAAAGAAACAAAGAAAGAAGAATTTACTCGTTTTCTATCTCGCTTCGTTTCGTTTCTTTTTTTTTTTTTTTTACCTACGTACTCGTGCGGTTAAACCATCTAATTCGATATTAAAAATAAAACGTACGATTCCTCGGTACTCTACCTTATCTACGAGCAGCGTGTGGGTAGATGATTCGTTTTTAAAGAGAATAACCGGTCTTGTATCAATTCTTACGATCAATATCGTCCAGTCGACACGAGTCTCGTATCCTCGTACATCCTAAGGGGAACACGAGGATGCGCCTTGCTTATCGGCACGGGTACAGTTCGCCTCCAATAAACGTCTCAACGTTCTTTATGCGTTATAATGCGCCTATAACCACCGCACCATTGAAAATTTTTATTCGAGTCGTAAAAGGAGGTCAGCCCATTAACGCGTCTTGTTCCTACATTTTACCCTTAGGCTTGAAAATAATCGAGGGGGAGCTTGTAACCTGCGAAATAGAGGCACACGTGCATATCCGTATTCATCGATTCAAACGTAAATAATAGTACCATTTCACTTATCAAGATTTGTAAAGTATTAAAAATCTTTACTCCTCGTTTTATTTAAAACGAGTGTTTCGAGGGAAAAAGAAACAGGAATAGATATTCCGCGTATCCCTGACGTTTCGATCAAAATATCCCAAAACGAGAATAATTCTCTTAGCCTTGGTCGTTTCTAGGAAAGTGGTGCTTTCATTGGTTGATTCATCGACAAAAGCGTGCGGGAGAAAAAAGAGGAGCTTCTTCGAGTATTCAGATACCGACGTCATCGTTTAAGCCAAATATTTACCATTCTTCGGTGACGCGACACGCGGTTAGGATTGTTACTTGGTAGATTTCACGTTTTCACGAGTTATCTCGCATTTCTTCGTTTCACGAGTGTGACGCGTCTCATGGGTTTTACCCTTGGCTACGTCGTTCAGTCTTATTTTCATTCCCACGAGCAGATTTATTCGTCGTTCTAAAATCTATTACGCTCTTTCGACTCGCCATGTTTAATTTGATTAAAATACAACTTTTTTTTTTTTTATTCTTTTCCAGATACATTTGTGTCCTTAAAATATCAATGCGTTTTTCTAAAAACTTTCTACGTATTTTTCTCTACGTAATGCCATTACATAAAAGAAACAATTGAAAATAATTTAATTTCTCGATTATTTTAAAAATCATTCGAATAGCAAATTGGCAAAACGGGGATTGATTTCACTGCACCATGTTCGTTGCAACGAGAAGGAAGGAACGAAGAGAAAAAAGGAATTCGCGTCGAAGGGAATCGCGTACGCTCGAGCTTGAAACGACCACCAACGAGACTCTCTTTCCCTCCTTTCGTGTTTTCGTTCACCAGCGTTTTCTTTGGCCCGCGCGTTAACGCCCTCGTCGAGTTTTCTTCCTTTTATTTCTCTCGCGTTTGCCCTCTCGCTTTCCGCTTTTTTTTTCGCCGGAGCACGCGATTTCGGTATGCGATCCGATCGCAGCTCGCTTGCCGAAACTAAACACGGATCAAGATCAAGAATTTGCATTCGCCTTTGACGAGTTTATCGTTAATCGCTTCTCGATTTCTCTCGATTTCTGCGTTCATGCTCTCGCGTCTTTTGTTTGAACGCTCGGATATTATTTCTTACGCGATGCAGCCAAGATTATTATTATTTGATAAACAGAGAAAGAGAGAGAGAGATAATTAACCGGTATAATTACTGGATGGTTTTATCTGTATTTCCGTTTCGACGAGTCGACCGTATGAAATTTCATCGTTACGCCACGCTTCGTGGGCTGCTTTTCATACGATTTGGACCGCTCAAAAACACGAAAAAGAAGTAACTCTTTGGAAAATAAACCCTTCTCGGAAAAGAGGAAAGTTATCGTGGAACGATAAAATAGGATGCTCGAGAGAACGTCGTGCACATCGTATACCGTACGATTGAATTTCAAAATTTTCCATCGATACTCGATTCGAGTTAAAGTGTACCACTCTTTTCCTTCTCTACCTAATGGAAAATAAAAATAAAAGAGAGCGCTTAGAAAACTAGAAAATAGTGGTTTTTGGTTCGAGCGTTGGAAACGGTATTCGAGCGTTAATAATAAAAGTAACGAGTTCCCAAGGACGTTGCTTTCTAAATCTGTTTCTTCGATCCATCCAGATTGCCGTCACCGTACAACAAGCAGTCGGCAGTCGGGGGTGCAGGTGGCGGTCCTGGCGCTGGAACCACGAGCATACCCTTGCCTGCCACCGTAGCTGCGACCAGAAGGTGTCCCCCGGACAAGGTTAGGCCGGCTCCTACGCCCACGCATCAATCGCAACTCGGTAAGTTTCCTCTTCTTGTATCCTTCCTAACCGTAAACTCTCCCCATAATATCGATCCTCTTCTCCTTCAATCTCTTGCTTTCAAATCTTAACGACAAACGATCTATCTTATAATTATTTATGGAAATGGGCGATATACATCTTATTAACGGTTCTCATTGTTTTAACATTTGTTTCACATTATACGATAATAGGTGTTGACCTAATCCATACGTTCCATAACTTGTTGGAAGGAGCTCGCGCGATATTTATAGATCCCCCGAGAAAGTTATAGAGGTCGCAAACGTTATCTACGCGTAATTTACTTACGTATTCCACTCGATACTTTAAAATCGTGATGAGATTTCTTCGATTTCGGAAGGGAGGAGGGGGGAACAGGGTTGACAGAGAAACGATCGTTTGGCCTGAACCCTATCTAATCCCAAATATTTCGCTCGATAAAAATTGGAGGATCACAAAATCATTATCAATCGTAATGGCGTAACAAACATAAATTCGCGGATTCCCTCCCCTCTTTCTGTATTTTCGCTGCCACTCTTTTCCTCTTTCCTTCGCTTCTTCTTTCCTTGCTTCGCTCTCTTTCTCTCTCTCTCTCTCTCTCTCGCTCTCGCTCTCGCTCTCGCTCTCGCTCTCGCTCTCGCTCTCGCTCTCGCTCTCTCTCTTTCTCGTCTCGCTCTCGCTCTCTCTCTCTCTCTTTCTCGTCTCGCTCTCGCTCTCTCTCTCTCTCGCTCGCTCGCTCCTCGCTCTCTCGCTCTCTCGCTCCTCGCTCTCTCGCTCTCTCGCTCTCGC